GGTTAAAACCTCCTAATCTGCAGATTTCTGACACACTGTTTATCATGGAAACTTCAACTTCTTCCTTGGGCAGACTTTTCAAGAGATTGTCTATATAGAAGTTTCTTTCAACTGTGTCTGTTACCTCTGTTGAAAGGTTATGCTGGTTATCGTCAACAATCTTTCTAAGAGCATAACATGCGCAGCTTGGAGACGAAACAGCACCAAATATGTGCACCGTCATACGATAAGGTACTGGTTCCTGGTTTAAATCTCCACCTGGCCACCACAAAAATATTAGGAAGTCCCAATGGTCATTTGCCACCCTGACTTGGTGGAACATTGCTTGTATGTCAGCCATGATGGCAATGGGTTCTTGTCTGAGCCTAGTTAAGACTCCCTAATAAAGTGCTTGACAAATTTGGTCCTTGTAGCAACTGACTGTTTAGAGAAACTCCTTTAAACTCAGCACTACAGTCAAACACAACTCGTAAAGTTTTCTTTCGTGGATGAAACACCCCATGATGAGGCAGATACCAAACCCTGCCATCACATATTTCAAGCTGATGTTCAGGTACCTTCATGGCATACCCCTTTGCTATTACATCAGAAAGAAAGCTTGTGTATTCTTCATGGAAATTTTCATCCCTTTGAAATCTTTTCCTTAGTAAGTTCACACGTTGTTTTGCAACAGCAAAGTTGTTGGGCATACTGAGGTTTTCATTTTTGAAAGGTAGGTTCAGTTTATAATGCCCCTCTTCAAATTGGACAGATTTTTCCATTATTTTCATAAACCATCTCTCCTCCTCAGACATTTCTTCTTTTTCATTTGAGAATTTTTCCATGAAATCCTGCTTGTATTGATTCATTAATATTTCCTCCAGTGTGTTAACTTTGATGTGGTTCACAGAAACTGCAATATGGCCACACTCACATTGGTTAGTCCCGTTTCCATGTAAAGGTCCATTAACAACACAACCTAAAAGGGTTCTTACTGCATATGGACCTTCACCTCTGCTGTTGATCACCTCCCATGGTTCCATTAACCTTGATGCATTTGTTCCAATTAACAAATCAACGCTGGCATCAATGCGAGGAATTTGTATGTGTTGTAGGTGAGGAAGTTTTGAAATGTCCTCTTCAGGAATTATGTTGTTGCTAGACACTGGCATCCTCCTTTGAGTGAAAAGATTTGGAAGCTGAAAGAACTGATTATCCAAGAGCCCAGATATTTCCAAGTCTTTTACAATGTAACTTGTCACTGTACTATTTTGACCCATAGTGTGCAAGTGGATCTTTGTCTTTTTTCCTGTGATTTTCAGTCTGTCCATTAAAGTTTCAGAACAGAAACTGTCTGTACTCCCTGCATCAAGAAAGGCATAAGTCTGAATCATTCCATCTCCTTTTGCACATTTAACTTTGACAGGCAAAATGGGAAGAAACCCATTACTGGCTCCAGCCCCTGTTTGACTACATGCAGAAATTACCTTTTCTTTTTTTGTCATGGTTGGCATGCTCCGTTTTGCTCTCAGCCTGCTTAATGTGTAGGAGGCTGGGATGGTTTTGGTTGCACACTCTGCACGACATGCGCTTTTTGCAGTCCTTACTCAAATGTCCAACACATAGACAACCAAAACATACTCCTTTTTCCTTTAAGAAGTTTAATTTTTCCTTATGCATCAGCCCTTTCATTTGTGGGCACTCTTCCAGTGTGTGCCTTAGTGTACACTTCAAACAGGATGCAGATGTATCTACAAGTGTCCTGGTTTGAGTTTCAATGTTTTTTGTGTTAGTCAAAGGCTTAGCGAGTGCAGTAACAGTAGTTGCAAAGCTGCTCCTCTTCAGTAGAGATTTTACCTGCGACTTCTCTTTGATTTTTGCATCCTGGATGTCACCAAAAACAGGATCTGACATGATTTTCACTTGTTCAATAAAGTGAACAATATTTTTAAACCCAGCTCTGTAATGATTTCTTTCATAAATGTCACATGCCACCACTCTCCATTTTTCTTTAAGTTTGTATGGAAGTTTTTGAATAACTGTTTTCATGTAAGCTGGCATGTTGAGTTCATCCAAATATCTCAATTCTTCCATTGCATTGCAACAAGTTTGTAAAAACAGCATATATGCACAAAGGCCTTTAATGTCCTCAGGTTTTATAGCAGGCCATGCATTTATTTTGTCCATATAGGCAGCAGATATTTTTAATTCATTCCCAAAATGCTCTTTGAGAAGTTCCTTGGCTTTAATGTATTTTCTTTCTGAAGGCAAATGTTGGCAGCTTCTTACCAACTCCTTCGGCTGCCCTGAAGTGAATTGTTCAAGATAATATAAACGGTCATCATGATTCCTTGTTTTTGATCCCACACCTTGCTCAAATGCTTTCATAAAGGTTTTGAACTGCAGGGGATCTGCAGGAATTTCTCGCTGTGGTAGAAACTGTGATATTTGAGTTTCAACAAGAAGTGCCATCATGTCATTTTGTTTCTGTAGAAGGTGAAAGACATCTCCAGATGCATGAGAGTCTGACTGAGTGTGAGTTATGGGACGTAATGTTTGTTGAGCAGGCTGAAGTAGTCGTTGGTGGTGAGCCTCAACAATGGTGGTGGGCTCATGAACAACCTTTTTGTCAGCTACTTGGCAGTTTTCCATCGTTTTATCACAGAAAGAATGCACATTTATGTGATGTTTTCCTAATGTGGAAGGAAGTCTTTCCAATGTGCCCTTTTCATCAGGATCCTTTTTGTCACCTTTTGGTTTAACAGCCGATCCCCCTTTTAAGTAGGATTCCATTCCATCAGAATGATGGCTTGAAGAAATGCTGCTGCCCTCTGAATCATTAAACACTGCAAGTTTTGCTGAGGCCGCAACAATTTCAGCTTCAATTTCAAGGTTTTCCATTTGTCGTCTCAAGTGATCAGCTTTTTCTTCAAGTGCATGTTTCTCCTTTAAAGCATCTGCACGTGCAACAAGTGCAGCCTTTTCTGCCTTGGCTTGCAGCACTGCAGATCTTGATGAGGACCTGCTGCTTTTGCTTGACCTTTTAGACTCCACATTAGAAACACTTTTGTGTGGTTCTACAGTAACTTGTTCATTGTCAACACCATTTTTATCTGTTTGAACACCTTCATTTTAAGTCACCCACTTATTTACCAGGGCATTAAAATCATGAACACCAAGCAATTTTACCTTAAAGCATATGTCTTGTTTTGTTAAACTCATCCTCTGGCAAATAACTCATCAGAGCTTCATGTTGGGTTTTAGCATCATTAACAAAAAAATATATATACAGTATTTTTCAAGTGTAACCTTTACCTCATTAACAAAAGAATCATCATCCATCAAACCCACAATTGTCTCTTTAAGTTTAGAAGCCTTCCGCATTTGAAACTTTCTTTCATTTTGCAAATGTGCAATTTTTACCATGAGTCCTTTCTCAGTCATTTTAATAGTACGTTTTATAACAGTCGGGACTAGATCTGAAGACCCAGCCTTGAGTTCTGTATCAGTCCCAGTCAAAGGTTTTGAATCAGGATCACAGTTTTCCTCCATTGTTTTAAACAGATAGATCCTTGTTAATCAGTTTTTTTTTTTTAAACCAGTCAGTCAGTCACCAATGCATCGGTCCTTTTAGCGCTTAAGTACGTGTGCACACTTTACATGAATGGCCATTCAATAGTTTGATAGCTCTACACATACCTCTGTGTTGGCTGGCATTGATGCACAGATGTCCGGTCTGCCTCCAGGACACACAGCTTCAGTCATTCCAACATCCTTCAGCTGAAGGTCACCAACCACAGCAGCCTAATCCAGCAACGTCTGGCTCCAACCGGACCCAATCCAGCGTTGTCACTTCTCAGATGAGATCCAATCCAGCCCTGTGACTCCAATTAGCCACAATCCAGCATGGTCACCTTCCAACGGGACCCAATCCAGCATTGTGACTCCAGTTAGAAACAATCCAGCATAGTCTTTCATCAATGAGGCAGTTTGTCTTGTGGGCGCGGCCCTTTCTTCCCACTTTCAGCTTCCAGTGAGGCAGCTTTTTGACTTAATGTGGGGACCAAACTTTTCCTTTGTGGCTCGATCACCACAGGTGATGAGTTGACAGCTGTTTTGACGCATGTCCAATAAGTGTTCTTTAATCAGTTCTTTTTGTAAAACAGTCATTTATTTTCTGTATTTTTACAAATTCCATGCATTACTTGCCTCCATTTCAAGTTTCCATATTTCATAGATGATGCAAAAATGTTCCAATCACACTTCCTGCACTTCCATTAACTTTCTAACACAGCTTGCACTTTAAACGCTACACGGTCAAAAAACTATTTGCCTCTGTCCTGTCTCATCAGCCTTGCGCACCTTTGCACCTGGCTTTTATGGGTGTGGAGACAATGACAGGTAGCATATTCCTCCCTCTAGTGCTTAACAAATGAAATAACACCAACAACATAAGATGGCTCTAACACCTAAAATAAGCCTACAGTGAACTACGTAGTGAACTATATATATATATATATATATATATATATATAT